CAGAAATTAAAATGGCGCCATTTTTGTTCTATTTTTTAGTAAAACTAAAGCAGAAATTAAAAGTGGCGCCAAATTACAACGATGCCATTTTAATTTCTGCTTTATTATTTTTTTTTTAAAATAGAAGTATTTACTAATTTTTCCAATTAGTAGAACAGATTCCACAAACGTATTTCTTAGGTGTTTTGGAGGTGTTTATCGCCTCGTTTTGAGTCATTTTACAAACTATATAATGTTAGCAGCAATTTCCACGAGAAGATATTGAAGGAGAGAAGCAGTTATTGGTTATTGGCGTATTTCTCTACAAATTGTACTCCATTACAACATTCTATGATGTGTAATAGTAGTGGTAGTAGTGTATTAAGAATCTCTTTAGAATTTAACAAAAACAGCAGAAAATATTATATATGAAATAACATACTGAAAATTGAGTCTCGGCAACAGTGGGTCACTTTTATTTATTTTTTTCTATCAAAGCCGTAGTAAATATTTTTAATAATTTTAATTAAAGTTTTGTTTGCAAAAAATAATTTTTCAATATTGTGGTTATTTTAAAAAAAAAGTAATTGGCAAACTATTTAGATATCGGTCTGAGAGACCGGTATAGCGGTTTAATGGCTAAAAATCAAATTTTTATAATTTACATTATTCAATATCAATAACAAGCGATTTACTACTTGTTGTATATCAAATAATCCTCTTGGAATTCAAGTGAATCTGCTGGTACTACAAATCCAGTTGTTCATCAAGTAATCAACTAATAAAACTAGTTTTTTTTCTTTCTTCTTCACATTCTACAATAATTGTAAATTAGAATATCCCTCGGAATTTTTTTTTCAGTTTCCTAACAAGGATTTATATATTTTAAATATAGGATTTTTTTTTTTGAATTAATATTTTTTACTTAATATGTTCTTTAAAATTGAAATTTCGATACAGAAAACTTTTTTTTTTCTTCTCCATTTCAAGGTTTTTCAATTTCTTTAGGTAGGTTTACCTTATATGCTAATGCTAACCAGGTGAGTCGAACGCTCAGGTATGCAGTGCCATAATACAAATAAAAGAATTCAAAGAAAAAAATATATATATATCTATTTTTAGAATCTTTAATAAGGATGATATTGAAATAATATATTTCTTTCACAAAAATACTGTGACAATAAAAATATGTGGTGCGCATGATTATCTCATAAAAATCATTTTTTAGAATTTTCATTTTCAATGATTTTTATGATTTTTATGGGATATTTTATGGAATATTGGGATTATAATTATGGAATATTATGGGATATTTAGGATCATAATTTTAGAAAATTTTTAAAAATAAATTGATCCAATTTTGATAAAATTGATAATGAAATGAATTAAACTAAAAAAGAATCCGATAAGATTTATAATTTTATTTGTTTAGGTGTGAATCTTTATTTTTATTTCTTTCCTCTATATTTATTCAGCACTTTTTTTATTATCCAATTTTATTTTCCAACAACTGATCTACAATTTCTATTTATGTTCTATATTGAGAGAATATATATCATAAGAAATACATTATGCCTTTATTGCAATCGGATAAGCTCAAATTGTAAATAGAAGTAATTATTTGGTAATTCTCCAATTGTAAACAGAACTAATTATCTGGTAATTCTCGTAAGCGAATATATTGTTCTTTTTATAGTATATAGAGAAAAAGAGAGTGATGGAGAGAGATGTGAAAAAGATATACAGAATTTTGATGCGGTCAGATATTAGTTTAAATACAGGTTCTTGCGTAATTTTGCAGCAGGTAATACACAAAAGATGGACGTTCAAATTCCCCCCATGAATATTTCTTTTGCGTGTTTCACTTGGATGCAACACTGTTATTGCAGCAGCTAATTAATTGCACCCAAACACGATATGGGGCGGGTATAATATTTACGGTAGGGGAAAAAAATTGCTCTTTTACTCCCTATTTAGAAGATGATACTGATATTGCATGAAAGTGATTTTAATTTCTCAGTTTATATACATAGAATGTTGTGAGTTTGTTTTAGAATTATAAGTTACATCTTCATTTTCATTTTCATTTTTTATTTTCAAATTTCTCGAGAACCTAAGGGTTGATGGAACATTTCAGTTTTCAACTTCGTTACTGAAAAATTAGTTTATTTCATCCAAATAATCCGGTTACTTGACTATTATTAAATAATTATTTATTTATATCAAATAATTAATTATTTGTATCAAATAATTATTATTTGCATCAAATAATTAATTATTCGTAACAAATAATTATTATTTATATCAAATAATTAATTATTTGTATGAAATAATTATTATTTGCATCAAATAATTAATTATTCGTAACAAATAATTATTATTTATATCAAATAATTATTATTTGCATTAAATAATTAATTATTTGTAACAAAAATTATTATTTGCATCAAATAAATATTCGAGTAAATATTTACTTGTATCAAATAATTAATTATTTATTTGCTTTTCTATCAAATAATTAGGTAATTATTATGACACAAATAAATGAATATTTATTTGATATAAATAATTAATTAATTATTTATATCAAATAATTAATTATTTGTATCAAATAATTATTATTTATATCAAATAATTATTATTTGCATCAAATAATTAATTATTGGTAACAAATAGTTATTATTTATATCAAATAATTAATTATTTGCTCCAAATAATTATTATTTGCATTAAATAATTAATTATTTGTATCAAAAATTATTATTTGCATCAAATAAATATTTACTTGTATCAAATAATTAATTATTCATTTGCTTTTCTATCAAATAATTAATTATTATGATACAAATAAATGAATATTTATTTGTATTAAATAATTAATTATTTATTTATATCAAATAATTAATTATTTGTATCAAATAATTATTATTTATATCAAATAATTATTATTTGCATCAAATAATTAATTATTGGTAACAAATAATTATTATTTATATCAAATAATTATTATTTGCATCAAATAATTAATTATTTGCATCAAATAATTATTATTTGCATTAAATAATTAATTATTTGTATCAAAAATTATTATTTGCATCAAATAATTATTTATTTGCATCAAATAAATATTTACTTGTATCAAATAATTATTATTTCAGTCAATTAATTGTTTCAAATACATAAATTATTAGTTCAAATACGATTTATTTAATACAAATAAAAATCATTTGGTTCAAGTAGGTAAACATTTATTTGATAATAGTTAAGTAACCGATAAATTGAATCAATTATTTTTTCAGTGGCGTTACATTAAAAAAAAAAAACCCCCATAAGAATCAATGACACGAGAAATAAAAAATAAATTATCTTGTCCGGAGGCAGTATTTTGAGAATAGTAGAATAGGACATAAAAGGTTGAGGTCATTTAATATTCAATAAGGACGATGATAATTCTCTTTTTTTCGGGGTATATAATAGCAGTGCTATACTTATAGAATGAAACTTCTCGACAGGTTCTTTAGTGATTATTATGATTCATTTTTAAGATAAAGATTCTATAATATTTTTCACCCCAAGAATATGATTTTTATTTTTTGGGGCAAATTTAATTTGATCTGTTTTTTAAATTATTTAATAAGTGATTCTCATTGGACCATGACTTGGCAGACTATATTATACTCACTTTTCCCTATATGGTTTCTCCATAAGCAAAATCAGATCTCGTTTCGTCACTATAGCCTAAAGTGAAAGGAGTTAATATACGGTGATGCAAAAATCTCTTAGAGAAATTATTCTTTATCATAGTATATTTGGATACTATTCGGATGTTTTAATAAAATCCGTAGCAAAATTATTTCTTATCTCTTACAGAATTCGGATGTTTCAAAAAAAATCTGTAGCAAAATTATTTTTTATCCTTTACAGCATTCGGATGTTTCAACAAAATCCGTAGCAAAATTATTTTTAATTCCTTACAGTATTCAGATGTTCAAAATAAATCTTTAGGGAAATTATTTTTTATCCCTTACAGCATTTGGATATGTTCCAAAAACATATATAGAAAAATTGTTTTGTATTCCTTACAGTATTTGGATGATCAAAAAAATCTGTAGGGAAATTACGGTTTTAACCCTTACAGCATTCGGATGTTCCAACAAAATCAGTAGCAAAATTATTTCTTATTCCTTACAGTATTTGAATGTTCAAAAAAATGTGTATGGCAATTATTTTTTATTCCTTACAGCATTTGGATATTCTGGAAAAACTACGGATGTTCGAGAAATAATTAGTGGATTTTAGAAATTCTAATTTTAGAAAATTATCCACGAATATCTTTGAGAAATATTAATTTTCAAAAGGACATCTCCAGAATGTCTGTAAGATTTCCTAAACATCCGGATGCAATATTTAATAATTGCCACTGAATTTTGGGATCAGAATTGTCAAATAATTTTGGTCACTAGAACCAAATAGCAGCAGTACTATACTATTAGAAGGTTATTAGGTTATTAGATGGTTATTTGAAATAAATCTAACTGATTGAATACAATTTTCTCCGCCACTGTAAATTTCGAGTAAATCGAAATAAAATTCCTTTTAAAATTCAACTTGTATGAAATATAGTCCTTTGCCTCCTTGAAATCTATCATCTCCAAGAGAATTCCCCTTACGCATCCCACGCATTCTTTATTATAAACGCTACCATGCGTATTTATTAGGCTTGCTTTTATAACGTGACTCATTTACAAACGACCTCGCCATTCCAAATTCGATCTTCCTCCATCATCATCAACATCATTTATAAAGGCAAATTATTTCGAAATCACAATTTAAACTCCAATTGCGAAAAAAAAACAGTTTCTTCGTATCACCCACGTGCTTTTTTTCCAATTCTAAATTGGAAATTAGAAATTTTAAATTCACTTTCACGATTTTCAAAGCAAAAAAAAAATTCACTAAAATCAATTATATAAATAACCAAATGAAGTTATTATTTTTAATAATTCTATTTTCCCTCTCACCATTTGCGTGTACAGCACCAATGACGCATATCCAGAAGTAGATAACCCACGAGATATCCATAATTGCACCACGCACCTTTATGTGATGATCGAGAATAATTTGTTTATATTATGTGTAATTTATGACAATTTTCGCGGCTAAAGGTTCATTTAGAAGACACTTGAAAAAGTCTTGCGGTGTATAAAAGTGTGGAGCATTCCTACCGACGACGAAGACGACCACGAGAAATGAAAGATACAGGAGATTATATTTTCTATATAAATAAATATATATATATATATGATGCTTGCTGAACGAGACGACGAGAGACACTGGAAGAGATACTGACTACTATATAGAAAACCGGGCCCACACGGTTAATAAAAAGGAGAGGGAATCGGCAATGACGTCTGTCTCTCTTGTAGGAAAAGAGAAAGAGAGAGGTGAGGCCTTCCAAGTCCCAACAAAAGCCCCCCACGAGACGAAGGAAAACAGCGAACTATCACGCGTGCATATACACACACCAGAAGCAATATATATATATTTCCAACGAACCAAATCCTCAAGTTCGTTGTGGGCGTCTGATTTCTGCATCTTGTCCTGCTCACCGGGCGCAATGCACGATTTCTTCGAAAAAAACCTTTTTCTTGAAAAAAAATATGCTGTACATTATTCATTAAAATTTAATCACATTAAGCCAATTACTGCTCATATGTACATACTTACTTACTTAAGTTCGTAATCAGCGACCTCGAAACCCCCCCCCAGTAACAAGTTTCAAATGAATTAAAAAATTTGCTCTAAATTTTGGAATTGTTATTTTGAATTTTTAAAAATTGATGTCAAATTCGTAATCATCGGCACAGAAAACCTACAAATAGGTTTAAAATATTGAAAAACTAATACCAAATTCGTAATCAGCGGCACCGAAAAACCTTCAGTAACAAGTTTCAAATGAGTCCATTTTGAATAACTAATACCAAATTCGTAATCAGTGGCACCCAAAAAACATACAGTAACAAATTTCAATTGAATCCATTTTGAATTATGAAAAATTTATACCAAATTCGTGATCAGCGGCTCCTAAAGCGTCCCAGTACCAAATTTCAAATAAATTCATTATTTATTTTAGAAAACTAATACCAAATTCGAAATCAGCGGCACTGTAAACCTACCGAAGTAACAAGTTTCAATCGAATCCAATTATTAATTTTAAAGAACTAATACCAAATTCATAATCAGTGGCACCGAAAACCCAAAAATTACAAGTTTCTGGTTAATCCAAGCAATTTTTAAAAAATTCTTTCTCCATATTCAATCCGCCATTTTGGATTTTGAAAAACTAATGACAAGTTTCAAGTGAATCCAATCAATTTATCATGAATTAGCTCTCCATATTGAGTCCGCTATTTTGAATTTTTAAAAATTAATGCCAAATTCGTAATCAGCGGCACGGAAAACCTACAAATAGGTTAAAAATATTGAAAAACTAATACCAAATTCGTAATCAGCGGTACCGAAAAACCTTCAGTAACAAGTTTCAAATAAATCCATTTTGAATAACTAATAACACATTCGTAATCAGCGGTACTCAAAAAACCCACAGTAACAAATTTCAATTAAATCCATTTTGAATTTTGAAAAATTTATACCAAATTCGTGATCAGCGGCACCCAAAGCGTCCAAGTACCAAATTTCAAATCAATTCAATATTTATTTTAGAAAACTAATACCAAATTCGAAATCAGCGGCACTGTAAACCTACCCCAGTAACAAGTTTCAATCGAATCCAATTTGAATTTTAAAGAGCTAATACCAAATTCGTAATCAGCGGCACCGGAAACCCAAAAATTACAAGTTTCTGTTTAATCCAAGCAATTTTTAAAAAATTCTCTCTCCATATTCAATCTGCCATTTTGGATTATGAAAAACTAATGACAAATTCATAATCAGCAACCCCAAAAACCGTATAGTGACAAGTTTCAAGTGAATCCAATCAATTTATCAAGAATTAGCTCTTCATATTGAGTCCGCTAGTTTGAATTTTAAAAAATTGATGCCAAATTCGTAATCAGTGATCACGAAAACCCCAAAGTATCAAGTTTTAAATTAATCGATTTTGAATTTTAAAAAACTAATACCGAATTCGAATCAGCGGCCTCGAAAACCCCCTAGTACCAAATTTCAAATGAATCCATTTTGAATTTTGAAAACCAATATCAAATTCGTAATCAGCGGCACCGAAAACCCCCCAATACCAAGTTTCAGGTTAATCCAACTAATTTTTTAGAAATTCGTCCTCCATATTGGATCGGACATTTTGGATTTTGAAAAACTAATGCGAAATTCGTAATCAATGACACCAATAAACACTTAACAACAAGTTTCAAATTAATTCAAGCAAAATTTAAAACATTCGTCCTCCTTATTGTATCCGCTATTTTGAATTTTTAAAAACTAATACCAAATTCGTAATTATCGACCCTGAAAATCCCCTAGTAACAAGTTTTCTAATTCATTGGATTTGCTTGAAAGTTATTACTGTGATGAATTTGGAAACTGTGATTACAAATTTTAAGTCAAATTAAAAAAAATCCAAAATGTCAGAAAAAATCGCAAATCGTTTGGATTAACATAAAACTTGTTATCTAGGGGTTTTTCATCAGGATCGCTGATAACGAATCTGGTATTGGTTTTTAAAAATCCAAAATGGCGGATACAATATGGTGGACGAAATTTAAAAAGTCTGTCGCATTTTCTCGAGACTCGTCACTCGGTGGTTTTTGGGGTCGTTGATTACGAATTTAAAGTCAGTTTTTAAAAATTCAAAATGTCGAATCCAATATGGAGGAAGAATTTTGTAAAAATTCATTAAATTCACTTAAAACTCATTACTCGGGGGTTTTTAAGGTCGCTGATTACGAATTTAAAGTCAGTTTTTAAAAATTCAACAAATCGGATCCAATATATACTACCAAATCCAGGCATCAAAGGCAAGATGTAATAATCCAACCAACAAATATAAGATAATTATTAAAATTCATTTTTAGTTAGAGGTTATGTTAATAAGTATTTATATAATTAAAAATAAAATCCTGATCATTTTATATATATATACAAGAACTTGTATTATATATATATTATTTTCTAAAAACTCAAAAGATTGTTCTCTAGATTATATTCTTATCTGTGAATTTAATATATATATATATACATAGTAACTGTACATTTTCAAGAGAGAAATGACTACCATTGGAAACCGATTCAATTTGTCGTTTATTATTTGTTATTCATCGCGAAAACTGGTTTTTAGGTTAAATATTATCGTAAATTGGAAAATATATATTTAAATTAAATGGCTAAACATTCAAAAGAGCACGCAGTTCATTAATGAAGCACATAACAGAGCATGTATAATGAGGCACAATAATTGGATATATTTGTCTTGTATACTTGGCCGCCTATTTTATGATGTAATTTAGATGATTTACAAAGTATTTTCTTGTTAATCGCATATAGTCTTTTACTACTACTATTTTACTAATATGTATATCGTTCTCTCTAAAAGTTTTATATATATATACATATATAGGTATACAGATTTTTGCAAATATTATAAAAATTATTAAAACAAACAGCAATTCATTGAATTTTTTTTAATCATTTTTGTTACAGTGGTAATCTTAACATAACCTCAAATTAAATAAAATTCTATAAAAATTATTCATTAGAATTTTTATTTTAAACAATTCTATTGGATATAATTATTTTATAGACGAATTTTATATTTTTTGAATTATAAAATTTAACTGAATTTTTTTTTAGATAAATACAGAATTTTTAAGTACCGAATTTTTATTTTATAGAATTTCTCATTGCACAACTTTTTATTTATAAGAATTTTAATTTTTACTAATTTTAATTTATCATAATTTTCATTTAAGAAAATTTTGAGTGATTCTAATTTTTAAATATCAGCATTTCCAATTTACCGAATTTTTAAATTTAACAATTATTATTTTTTTTTATAATTTCTGATTGGTTAATTTTAACCCTTAACTGGCACCAACGGGTCCATTAGACCCGGGCATTTTTTCTCGCTCAAATTAATTGAATTTGAATATTTTTTATATTTTAATACAATTAATTTGGCATATTAGTAATTTTCTAAGTTTTTTGATACAAATAATTCGATACAAAAGAATAAATTAGCTTCAAACATTAATAATTATAAATTTTTAATTTTAACCTAAAAATTCATATTTTATTCTGCAAAATAAATACCTTTTTTGCAAGTCCTGCTGTTGTGGTAATTTTTTCCTTAAAGAATAATATAATCTTAAATTTTTAAGTCATAATAATAAAATTTAAATAACTCATGAAATTTTAAGTAAAAACACGCAATTTTTTGATTTTTCTTTTTTCACAATTTTTTTTAACTAACTTAAAATAAATTAACCACTGTAAAACTAATGAAATTTCCCTAATAACACAAGATATCTTGGTATATATTGACAATATCCCGCAGATATCCTAGGGATGTCCTATGGATATCAAAAGGATCTCTTAAGGATATCCAAAAAATCGGCGGTTTGGATATCCTTTGGATATCCACTGGATATCTGAGGATATCCACAGAATATCTTCTGGATATCTCTATAGACTTTCATAAATTTCCTCCAGATATCCCATAGATATCGTCAGGATATCCCACAGATATCATCAGGATATCCCATAGATATCGTCAGGATATCCCACCGATATTTTCAGGATATTCTCAGTATATCTTCTGGATGTCAAGAAGATATTCTCAGGATACTGTTTTTAAAGTCATTATGAGACTATACGAGTGAGAATATTCTGTGAATTAAATTTTATATAAATAAAATAAAATGCAACTTGTTTTTCGAGAAAGTTGTTTAATTTGAAAAATTATTAACTAATTTTTTTCTCATTCGTGATTCATTCCTTTATTCATATGCTTAATATTGTCAGAAAATAAATTGGCTTTAAACAATATAAATTCTTCCCCGCAAATAACGAATAACTATTAATATTAATTATACATTAAGTGCATGAGTTTATTTAAAAACTTTGAAAAATGCGTTTCAAATCTTCATTTAAAATAAATTAGAAGCTCATAAAATTTTTGTTTTTATTATATTATTATTCATTATATTAGCTTAACAAATTTTAACCTTTAAAAATATATGTTGAGATATTAAATATCCCGTGAATATCCTAAGAATATCCCACGGAAATCCTGAGGATATCCCATGGATATCCTGCGATATAATATCCAATAGATATTTTGTGGATGTCTTAGGGATATCCTGTGGATATCCTATGGATGT